TTTTGTGGTGTACTGAGACACCTGAGAAGCTCTAGATGTAAATGCTATTTTGCTTTTTATATTTCTACATTCTAGAGCAAAGTCCATTTTTAATTCATCTGTACAAGACAGCTGGGGAATTTTACAAGGGATCTTCATCCACTTTTTTTCCATATTGTGGAAGATGTCATTTGTGATGCCAGTTGTGTTGTTAGGATTTTTAAGTATTTGTAAGGGAGATTTTACTTACAATCCATCTCCTGAAAAAGTTCTGAGATTTTCTAAGAACAAATTAATAGAATAAAAGTAGGTTACATCTATTTTAGATGTCTGTGGAAAATTGTCTCAAAGAACAAAGTTTTTCTCTTCCCACTTTGTGCTACTGAAATGAGTTGTTTAATTAAATTCAAACACCACAGGTGTCATGAGGCATTTCAAGTTGAAAGGAGTGGTGCTTCTATTTGAGTGTTATTAAATGAAGTGGTTAAAACAAGCACCAAAATGCTTTAACAGACTAACTTCCCTTCCAGGAAGCTTGTTGATCCTATCTTTTTCACTAATACGGATTACAGTGGCTTAACTTTAATTCACTCCAATTTTGGGAGCAATTTTCAGATAGCTTTGATTTATAGGGGAGAATTTTATTCTGAATAGTAACTATTAATAACAAAGATAATTAGATATTTCAATTTTTTTTTCTGAGAGGAGAAGCAACTCTTAAGGCCAGATATTAAGGAAAACCACATGATGGCTTTGTTAGTAAAATTGATCCCATGCTGCAGGAAATCTTTCAAAAGCAGTAATTGCAGTTTATATGAATGATGCAACTGTGCTCTTCAAGCTATGGTGTGCTTCAAGCAGTGTGAAAGTTCTCACGGTGTACCTTTGGGGTAAAGATGTGTTGTTTTTATTTTTTATTTTCTAAATATTGAATATGTGCAGCATTACATGAAAAAGTAGTGCCTAAATTCAGACATAAAGAATCTTGTCCTAGTTTGTCATTATTATTAAGGAGGTTTCTTGACTTAAGGGAGAAGAGTCTGCCTCAGCCATAAAAATACAGTTTTTTTTTTTTTAATGGGTGAGCTACTACACTACACTGGCATAAGTTTTGAGGTGCTTTTCCCATTGAGAAGTTCAGTGTTCAGAAGGAGAGGATTTTCAGGCAGAGCACTGCTGGCGTTAGTTGAGAGAGTTCAGTGCAAACAGTGCAGAATCCTTGCTGGAAGTGCCATCTCTTTAATGTACTTCTGTTCAAGCCTATGTGCACTTGAAAACTTGCATCATCCGTGATGAGATTATTTTATAAAGAACTGTTTGGTTTAAGGCTATCAAGCAGGCTTCTTACTCTGTGGAGATGGCAGTTTGGTCCCACTGACTGTGAAGCAGTGCAGCAGATTTCTGTACAGTGGTATTTTTCACATTGGGGTTTTTAGTTTCAGCGCTGTTAGAACATCAGAATTGCATTATGGAATGAAAGTACTCATTTTACATCATTACATCTGTGGTATTGACCTGATTATAATTCACCTTTCTTCAGTTTGATATATGCCAATGGAGCTACCTAACTGGGGAGCTAGAGAAAAATATAAACCACAGCTGTACAGGTATAGCAACATTTTTGTAGGCTTTGTGATACATGCGCACCTGCAAGCTTAGGTGTAAGAGGATTCATGCTGCAGGAGTTTCTAGGTCCACGAGAAGGACACTGCTGGATCAAGTAATTGTGTTCTTAGGATTTATCTGCCTTATCTGTGGGGAGAAAGACAAGAGAGGAGGAGCCTAGTATATAATTAAATTCATTTTCTGCAGGTTAACTTAGTTAATAATGTTGACATCTAAAGGTTGGTGTTTTTAAAGATAAAAAGGATTTAAGGTTAGATAACTGCTTGTGGTCTTCTGAATTTTTTTTCTAGATTACTTTAGTACCAAGGAGGAAGAAATGAGCTGTGAAATTTGATGCTGTGTTAAATCAGTTGAGCTTAGGAATGATAAATGTGTGCAGTGTTTTGCGTTGTTAACTTTTAAAAATGTCTGTATTGGTTAGTAACAAATAGATGTGGTTGGTTTTTTTTTTCCCCTCCCTTTTCTCTCCTGTTTTCAGAAGGCTTTGAAAGTTCCATGTCCCATCTCTTGACATTCTGGAGGAATCACACGAAGTGTTCCCTGCACTCTCATCCAGTTGCACATCATTGTGAATGGCTCTCCTTGGTTTTTATAGAGCAAGACGATGACATGTGGGAAGCTGCAAAAGCTTTATTACTCATTTATTTAAAAATTGATAGGTTGGTATGCTTTTTATTTGACTGAATTATGAATGATAACGTAATGAGGCTGTTGTGATACACATAATGCTTTCATTGATTACTTTTATAGAAAGGATGAATATTTTTAATAAGCTCTGGATTATGCGGTAATGGACGGTGTAAGAGCTGTTAACTTTTCTGATAATTTGGTTAAGTGTTTTTTTTCATTGAAATGAAGGAGTTGTGCAACAAATTCCTATTAATACCAAAGCATATCCTGCAATTTAGAATAATTGACTTCACATTCTAAGTAGTGGTTAACTAGAGATAAAAGGCAAAGCTGCTCTCTTTCAACACATGTGAAGAATGCAATCTGGTAATCAAGTTTCAAGAATTTAGGGACCTCTGGCAAAGTAGTGCTCTCACCTTTGGACCCATGTAAATTCTGTCACTACTAACATCAGAAATGATTTTTTTGTGAATTGCCCCTGGATGTTCACTACTTCATTGTTCAAGTTAACATACAGGAGTGTATACTAACTTATAAAATATTTTTCAAGCTTCAAACGCAAGGACGTTGCAAGTAGTGTCTTAGGCACATAAAATAACTTTTAGGCTCTTTTTCCAATGTGGTGGATGTTCAAGTTTACGAAAGTAATACGAAAGTATTACAGAGAACTATTCACATATTCTAAGTTTTGCTGCTTCTAGAATTAAGGACATGCTGTTTAAGAAAACCTGCTTTAGGTGCTTTGGCTTCCCAAGCTGATCTACCACCCACCTGTGTTCATTCTCTAATATGAAAACTGCTTTTTTTCCTGATATTTACATTTTGACAATCTGACTCTGGGATGTTGGAATTCAAAATACTGCATGCTGTAAAACAGATTTCAAACCTGTCTTGCATAGAAAGCTCATCCAACAAAACAAGTTACTTTGCTGGGAATCCTGTAGGTGCTTTTTTTTGTTGTTGTTGTTTTTTTTTTTTTTTTTTTTTTTTTTTCCCCGGAATTTTATTGGAAATATTTTCCTGGAAATCTAATCACTGTAAAACTTGTAGGGCCTAGCATGTGTGCATTTATTGTCTGTTAGAGAACATCAAAAAAGATCAAGAATAAAATTTTCAGGAAATGTCTGTTCTTAACTGTAGAATTCCACTGAATTTAATCCATTTCACAATTTACTTTTCAGGTTACGGTGTGATGCTGCAGATAATTTAAGTTGGGAAGAGGAGGAAAGCTGGGACTTCCATGCACATGCAAATGGTTATAATCCTCACTGCATATTTTTATTTTTTCTAGAAAAAATCTCTTTTGATTCCACAGTACTTCTAGATTTTTTGATTTCATCAGAAACTTGCTTTCTGGAGTACTTGGTGAGGTACTTGAAACTTCTTCGAGAAGACTGGCATCGGTTTGTAAACATCTGTAACCATTTTGATACCAAGTGTGGTTCTTCTCAAGCAATGTCTTCTATCAAGCCTGGACACCAAGAAAAACAAAGCTGCATGGCTGGTGTGAGCTTGCAAAATGCTTGTTGTGAACCAGAATCACAGACTTTGATACCTTTGGCTTCTTCTCACAATTACTTAGTGTTTACAGCAGAGCAAGGTGATAATGAAGTTGCAAAGTCTAACCAGTCTAACTCATTGCTATGTGATGATAATACATCTCTGCTGGGTTCTCTTCAAAGACTTGTTAATTATGACAGCTCAGAAGATTCTGAATTAGAATCAGTTGGAGAAGAGTGCTTAGTAAACACAAAGCAGATGCCTTTACATAAGGAGTGTGAGACAATGATAAGGGAAGCTGTTTGCAGCTACACAGATGATAAACAGAATAAACTCGAGTCTGAAGTGTTGCCTCTGAAACAAAAGGGATCTAATACCTCATCCAGTCTGGCATGTATATTGTCTTCAGATAACATCGTTCCTCTAAGAATAATGCTTTATAAATCAACAAAGTGTTTGGAAGAACTGCAAAAAGCAATTTCTAGATTGCAGGGAAGAAATCTTTTCCCTTATAATCCATCTGCGCTATTGAGACTACTGAGTCACATTGAGAAGATTAGTAAGAACATGAATTCACAATAAATCAAAGTAGTATTCTAGTGACTTGTGACTAGTGCACTAGAGATGAATGACTTCTAAGGCCTTTTGCACCTATTGGTGTATTAAAACTGAAATCAGATGAACGTGGTTTTGGTTGACACTAAAAAGTCTGCAGTTGTGCTCAATGACGTGATCCGTTACCTCGGGGTCTCAGGCTTATTTGTGGTATGTATGTCATGCACTGTGCATCAGTAGTAATTGCTAGGAATGCAAAAACTGCTAATAAATAACTTATCTGAAAGAATATCAACAACATACAATATTTAAAGTCTTGTCAGTTATACTTAACATCATTCTAATGTAGCAATTTAGTAGTGATTGCCAGATTGGTGGTGATTGTGTACTCTAAGCAGTTAAGAGGTTAAGTGAAATAAAATACTACAGCTGGGGGCTGGTTTAATGTTCATACTGTGTGTATTGAATCTGTGCTCTGCTCGAAGTGAATGTGTGGGGGTACTACCAATATCCCAATAATCCATGCCATCTGTTTTCCTTGGTTGAAGTGCTTGCCTAGTGCTTAGGAGGTCCTGTTTACTTGATCTAATCAATGATGTTGCCACCTCAGTAAAAATTGAATCTATTTTTTCTTAATATTGCGTGGTATGCTCCTTTTAATTATGAAGGAAAGTTTTGCATGGTACTAATGCATGTTTTACTTATTTACAGAACTTTTGTTGGAACATTATGTTTAAAATCAAGAGAAATTCCAACAAATTCTTACTTCCTTTACACGTTTCATGTAAGTATCAAATATATCTGCAAGGTAGAGAATTATAAATTTAAATATCTGCAGTGCGATGAGGTGGATGTTGAATGTAATCTTAAATGGTTGCATCTCTTATTACATCTAATTTGAATAACCTGCAAAGCGTCTAAGACTGCTAGGGGAAAGTTCAGAACAGCATCCAAACCAGTGTGTGCACCAAATAGGAAGCCACCTAATGTTGGTAAACTTAACATGCAGCTTGTAGTGATCTTAGGAGGGTTAGGCAATGGGAAAATACCAGTGACAGAGTACTGTAAATCCCACACCTCATCACCTCTGAAAGAAGCTGTTTTCCTCTTGGGATCATCTCTTGAAGGCAAGTGGTCTATTTTGTTTGAGGACCAGGTAAGTTGTCTCTTTCCCCTTTACAGGAACTCTGTAGTGAAAAATAGATGTGAAGATAAACAGTTTCTGAAACAGGTGACTCTGGCCACCAAACTGCTGTGGCCATCTTCCAGATTAGTCTTGAGCTCTCAGACAGTGAATCAACTATGTACTGAGAGTGGGGGAAGAGTGGATTGAAGTTCATAGTCTATCTAGATGGAGATAACAGTGCTCGCCAGAGACATTGAATGGTATTAATTCTTTCTGACAGGCAGACTTGAACTTTGGTCTTTGAGATGACTGCTCTGTCATCTCAAAGTGAAAGTTGTACAGGCAATACAAAATCATATGACATGTAGTAGACCTGAATATTCTGTGCTTACATTGGGGAATATGAATGTCTGATCGGGAAAAATTCAATTTGCTTATAGTCACTTGAATTAAAAACGAATGTTTGAGTTGTCTGACCAGAGGAATGCCCAGTTCCTGTTCAGTGTTTAAATGCAGTTACACTCTAGGTGCTGAGTTGTTCACTTCTGTCAGGACTGGAAGCCTGTGGGCATGTTCAAAGATGCAGCGCTAGACAACTTGAGAACTTTGCAGTTCAGACAGGGGAAGTGCCTTTGGCAAGACAATTGAACAAGGATTTCTCAAGTTCACAATTTTCAGTGTAGGTACTTAGGTTTCAGTGAAATCCTTTCTACTGTCCCCTCTTCTCATCTGAGCTTTGCTGACTAGTTTATTTTACTTAAATAACCTCGCTGTTTCACTGAACTACTTTACAAGTTGGAAATAATCCAGATTGCAACCATATTTCTCACACCTTAATGATATAAATGGTGAAAGAAAGGTAGGAAAACAGGAATTTGCTGCATTTGTAAATGTTCTAGCTACCCAGTGGTTTATACCTTGATCTTTTACAGTTTATGACCCATAGGAACTGAAATGAAGTAAAACTGACAAAGGTCAAGTTTTTCTTTCTTTATTCCACACAAAATGAGTGTGAGCAGTGCAGTAACTTGTAGCTTTATGGGTATATTCAGAAAGTCTAGCACGAGGAAAAGACCTTTGTAAATTAGTTTGTATTTCAATCCATTAAATATATATTCTGGGTTTTGATTTTGGTTTATTTTTGAATCTTTACTCTGAAGATTTTATACAGAGCTGCCATTTACTAGAGCAAAACCTATTGCCAGTGTTAGATTAGAACTTTTGAACTAGGTCAGTAGTATTGTTATTAGGAGGATAACATGCATTGCATTTGGCTTCTGATATCTAAACGTTTTCTTCTGTTAGATAGAGAACGAGATAAATGCCCTGTTTGGAGATGATTATTTATCTGAGCACTTAGCCTGAGATAGTCTCCATCTGTGTTGTGAGTTTTCCTTGCAGGCCAGTAGAGTAAATTACACTTCCTCATAAGGCAAGCAGCAGTAGAAGTTGCTTAGAGGATGTACTTTTTTGAAGGGTAGTCTTAAACTGGATATTTGCAGGGACTGATAAGTTACAGCTGAATCCAGGTGGGTCCCAGTGACTCCATTCTTGTGGTTCTTCAGACTGAAATTTCTCCATCAGACTGAAATTTCTCCAGTATTTACAGTTGCTTTGCCTTCTGGCTTTTACACTTGTAATAAGAGTTTTAATCCTGTAATACAAGAACAAAACCCAACATTCGGAATTTCTATATTTACAATATTCTTGTAAAGCTCGGATTAAAGAGCCTTGGTTTTTCCTTAGTTTATCATTGCAGCATGAAGTGTTTGTACTTCCAAATTCAGTCTGGGATGGTGTCTGAAGCCAGCGTGAAGTATTTATCACAGCCTGTTAGGATCAGTAGGAGTGAAAATACTGTAGTCTTTACAGTTTTTCTTCTCTGTATTCTGCCTGAAAGTTGTCCAACTGAATTTGTAGATTGTTGTTGCACTTCATACAACTGCCAGATTCCCTGGCTTACTCTGAAGTCTTGTTAGAAGCCAACTGTGTGTGTCAGAGTGGATCATGAGCAGCTTTTTACTATCACTGCCTCAACAGCAAGCATGGACTTGGAATGGCTGAGTAACCATTTAAGGTTAGGTCTCAGATTTAAGCTTTTCCACGTTGCTGTCATCTTAAGTGCTGTATAATTGAGTTTATTGCTGTCTACTATTGGAAACATTCTTTAAAAGAAAAGGTGACTTTGTTTTACTTAGAATAATAAAGAAATAAAACATAGTTTTCAGGTTTTAAAAAAAAATATCTTTCATGGAGAATTTAAAAAAAAAAAAAAAAAATCCTTAGTCATTTCTGGTTCTTACTGACCTGTATGGCAAAACACAAGCTTTGTTAGTCAGCAATGTCTTTCCAGGGAAGAGTCTTGAAAACATTAGGTAGTACTTAAAAAATAATAATAATAATAATAAATAAAGCATTCAACCTGAAAAGTGATCGCGTTACAGAATGCTGGTCTCCTTAGAAGGTGTTTTATCCCAAAACTGTCGGGAGTTGTCCAAGAATCTCCCTCATTGTATTCTGATGCTAGAGATTTGAAACCTGAAAGGTTTTCTTCAAAGAGCTTCTGAATGCCCACAGTGACTTGGAAGGAAGCAACAGCTGCAAAGGAAGCAGCAGAAAAGATTATGAAGTCTGTTATGTAAAAGAGCTTGTGGTGATTAAACCAATAGGATCTGTAGTCAAAGTCCGATGTGCTTCGTTTTTCATTAACAATTGGCACAGACTCACTATGCAGCAAATGCGGGACTCTTAAATGGTGTGTTTGTTTAAATTCATCACCTCCTTGGAGTTGAATCTATTATTTGATCATCCCAAGCAGAATGTCAGTTCTTCTAAAGGATTGTTTCTTCACCTCATTTCGAAGTTTCAGCTGGTGTGATTCCAATGTTTTCTCTAATTTTCAGCTACAGACAGTTGTAGAGGAGGCAGTTTTTACTGACTGAAACAGGCAAGGGGTTGCCTTTCAGTTTCACTAAGCACATGCTCATGTTTTGTGTTTCTATTCTGTATGGATAGATAAACATTGATGCTTTAAGACTCTTCTGTTAAAGTAATCAAGCAATCTTTGCAGTGTTGTCTTATGTGCAAGTGTTACAAATTGCTGAGGTTTATTTTCATGCAGTTGTTTAACCAGTACTTCCAGCTCCAGGAATCAACAAGGCATCATCTATTTAATTTTTTAAATCCCACATTGTGTAGACTGTTGGAAATTAATTAAAAACTCTCTCCTGAATAAATTGATTGAAGTGATTGTTGAATTCCCTGCACATCCAAGTATTATTTGAGCAAATTAGTGGTGCTGTATTTGAAAGGGAAAAGGTCCAGGCTTTGTAATAGTTCTTTTTACTAAGATTGTGATTAACAGATATAAGTCTTAATGCAATGCTTCCTCTAAATGCAAGCAGTAGAAGTTACTCTTCCATGTTTTTTTAAACTATATTTTAATGTGCTTTCACTGTTTCATGGATATGCAGTTTGATTTGAAAATTATAATTCAGTGCTTCTGTTATTAGAGGGATGAATATGACAAATGTGGAGAAAGTGAGTTAAATCAAGGAGAAATAATCTTATGAGGGATCATCTGCAGACAAAGATTGGGAGGCTTATATAAAGGAAAGCTGTCTGAACTACAACTACATGAAACTTCACTAATATATGCATACAGCTCTGTGCTTTTGGGTTTGGGTGGATTCTTAACTGCAGCTCTGGAGGCTTATCAATACACCGCGTGTTCAGCATTTGAAAGAAATGCAGCCAAAAAATTGTGAGATGCAGCATATTTGTGGTATTTATATCCCTCAGTTGTGCATGAAAGAATGTAGTTAGAAAGTGGTCCCCAGGTAGTGCTGGTATTGCTTCCTGGAGCCTTTTACCCAAGATGTAGTTAAAGATTATTAATAGTCCTCTTTTGGCACCTGATCAAAAAGCTGGTAGTTTGGGTCGGCAGTGTATTGCTGTTCCACTGCTTTCCTCTCCATTGCCTTTACTCCTCTAGTATTACTACTGGCTTCTTTCTGTTCCATTGTTGTCCTGTTATTCAAGCCACAGATTCTCAAATATTCTGTTTCTTATTGAAGTTCATGCAATCAAGTTCTGAATTTTAAGATTTCAGTGTTTTGAGGATTTCAGCCCGTTTGTTCAAATGTATTTTTGCTTTGGTGCTGCATTGACACTAAGGTACAGTGTTTATAACCCTACCATTTGCTCTATTTGCAATCAGTTATCCAGTCTTCAGTTATGATAGATAGAAGAAACTAATTTCTAATTATTAATATTAACTTGCAACTCTGTATGGATTGTGAGTCAGATCGTACCTCCAAGTAAGAAAGCTCTTGAGCAGAAAACTTTTAGAGAGATCCTGAATGGATGACTTCATCTCTTTTCTGTAGGGGAAGTTTGATGTATTGGGAGGAGATATTTCTGATATTTTTTTTCCTTATGCAATTACTTAAAAGTTCAGGTGAAAACTCACATACATTGAATTCATGTGTTCTAATTTGATATATGTATTTATTGGAAAAGCTAAAGAAGTGGACTCTGAGGTTTTTTTGTTCTACTCCCCCCCCCCCGGCATCTTCTACATAATTTATCCTTTCCAGTGATATGTGCAATAATTATTTTGGCTGATCACATACCTCTGTTATCTAGTTACTCAGTCA